TCTCTCTCTCTCTCTCTCTCTCTCTCTCTCTCTCTCTTTCTCTCTCTATCTCATTCTCCGCCCACTCCGTTCTTATTCCCATTCTACGAAAAATAATTTTCTCGGAGCAATAACCGTAGTAGAGTCGGTGTAAGCAAAGCACTTCTGCCATACCCTGACTTCTTTACCATACCACCCTTCGTTATATCCAAATTCAATTTTATGTTAAATATTCCTGAACGCGATTCACCGACGCCACCGAACTCAATTTATGATCCTTACCGACCAGCAGTTCGCGAAAGCCTATCCATTAACTTTTCGTGCGTCTCATTACTCTCTTTTTACGATGTTCCAAGAACATAGGAGAAGCCTTCTAACCTTCGATTTAGACCAAACCAGATAGGAAATTAAAATATTACGAAAAGATTTATTTTATTATATATTTATACTTCACGATATCTCCAGATAAAGGAACACAAAGAAATTATAAAATTAAAATAACTTTGTTAATAAAAAAATATTGTTAATTGAAAAACAACAAATTTGCCTAAACTTCGTAGATCCTTCAAAAGTTTCGAGTAAGAAACATATTAAAAAAAAATGTACAAATGATTCGTCGAATGTCGAAAATAAAAAAACTTTCGATGTCTACGAGAACCGAGCAAGACACGATAAAAATCGTCGTTCACGTGGGTAGGGATAAGTGGTTTTTTTTACGAAAGCACCCGTTATAAATATATTTGCGTTAGGCTCGAATCCGCAGGTGCGTCGGTTTACACGATTATCCGGGCGTCCCTTTTGCAAAAAAGGCAGCTTCCTATCTCCTCTAAGGAAAAAGACGAAACGAGGAAAAGAAAAAGGAGGTTGGAAAAGAAGAAGGAGCATGAGGAGGAGGAGGAGGAGGAGGAGTTGGAGTAGGAGGAAAAGAAGGATGAGAATGTGGATGAGGATAAGGATGAGGAGAAAGAGGGGGAGCGATAGCGGGCGCTGGCGCGGGGAAGGAGGGGAATAGAGGGATAAAGAAAGGGTGGGAAGAAATGGTCGTGGGTGAAGGAACGAATAAAACGCGTATCGGAGGTACGCGCACGGCAGATCAATCTTCCGTTCTCTCCCTCGCTAAAGCTCGCTAAAGCTCGCTCAAGCTCGCACGAGGTAGCTCGAGGTAGCTCGAGCTCGGCCGAGCTCACCTTCACTTTGCATCTCTTCTCGTCTCTCCTCACGACTCCTCTCTTTTTTCTTTTTTTTCTCTTCTTTTCTCTTCTCTTCTCGCCGAATCCCACCCCCATAGACGCACCTCCACCTTTCTCGCATCCAACCATCCAGCTTCTTTTCCAACGTAGATGCGACCCCCTCGCACGTCCCCTTTTCCCTATC